TCTGGGAAGTGAAAGGAGGTAAATATACAAAGACCCTCGCCAAGATTCGGGTCAGAAGAATATTTCGTATACGAGAATTCGAAGAAATGTTTTACCCAAATTTACAGGAATTTAGATGGCAATGCCATGCTGGTGCCCACCTGGAAGGGCACCAACATGGTGGACGGAAACCAACAGAAACATCTCTTACCGAGTTTTGCTACAAAAGCGTGAGTTTATCCCTCGAGGAAACTCATAAACATTAATTAAAAAGTAAAACAAGTTTTCCTAATACATTATCCGTTTAAATGGCAAAATCCCCGAAACAAGTCACTTTTTAACCTAACATTACAGCTCTCTCAGCCGTCATGCAAAAGCCGCGTCACACAAAAGCTTAGAAATTCAAGCGTACTCTAACACAAAACCAAGAACCCTTTTGAAGCGGAAATTGGTATGAACATTAGTTTTCAGCTGTTCTAATACATCATGAAATCTCAGTAGGATTGATAGTTTTGTAGTTTGAATTTTAGTGACGTCATGTGAAAACCAATGATAATGATAACGTTAACAACTTCCGTCTTAACCTGCGAGCAAACTCTCCGGGGCGCTCTGGCCGCGGGCGGGAAAAAGAGCTTTCAACTACGTCTCTGGAATTTGATTATCTGCATCGAAAATATCGATGCGAAACGCTTATGGGCGGAGATGACATTAGTAATGACGTCATTACTCTTGGCACTTGTTTTTCGATGTTTGTTTACATTCGCGCTCGTTTCCGCTTCATGCTGATTGGCAGAAATCTGACAGCTCAGTCGACGGGGAGCCACAGGGGAATTGGAGACGTAATTGCAAGCTCTCCTTCCTTTTCCCGCCTCGCCGCCAGAGCGCCCCGGAGAGCTTGCTCGCAGGCTATTTCTGTCTCCACCCAGAATTTGTTTGCTATTGGATAAATGTTTTTTTTTTCGAATGACTGTTATTGTAACGGGCTCGGAAATAAAGTTCTGTTATTGATATTGTTGTTCCTGTATTCTTCTATCAAGGCAGCTTTATACAGCAACGTTACTATCAGAATGTTTAAAACACGAATAGCAATGATCTATCATGATCACGTGCTGTGAGTGCTTTGAACAGATTCAAAAACATATCATTCAATAGCTAAATAATGCATTTTTCTCTTTTAAAAAACGTGTTGATTGGAAAAGTTAAACAAAGGCAACAAAATAACAGCAAATGTTGGGCAGAAATATTTTTGCATTTGCAATATGCAACTGAGGTAAACGGTTTAAGCGTCTAATCGCCTTCGCAATTAGGAAACTTCGTATTTCGTTTTAGAATATTTAAAGCTACAATAGCTCTAACCAGTCTAACTGGTCACGACGGTTTTTGTGTTCGGTTAAGGATGAGAATTTTTAAAACATTTCTGGAAAATAATTTTTGTCAAATGTTCTACTTATTTTTGTTGGCATACGGAACCTCAAATAACTTACTGAACTTGATATCATAACATGGAATCACATTTCACCTGAAATAAAGAATTTGGTTTGTAGTGTCCCTGCGGTCTCGTGTTGCCTTCCTAGGTAAAGCTAATACCACACCAGCGGTCATGGCCACCGCGGAAAAAAGAACATTCATGTTCTCAAGATTCCAACAACCATACAGGAAAGTTTGTTTATTCGCTCTCGATTTTCTCGTTGCTGATTTGCATTACTGCCATGGTTCGAGTCGAGATTATAAACCAAAGGATTGATGTTGTTGAAGATTTCATGGCGGAAGTCAACCAAATTGCAAAAGTACATGTCGGAAGAGATGTGACAGGTTTAAAAACGTTCAGAGAGTCAACCTGGTCGGTGAATTTTACCGCAAGAATGGGGTAAAAGAGGAGGAATATACGTCTAAAGGTAAACTAAACCCTTTGCAATACTTTACCCTGGGGACTCCCATGTGAACGGGACGTGGATGCCCATGGGAAAATTAGAATTTATCTTTTTAAAGGAGATCAATCTGACTTCGCTCCTTTACGAACGTACTTGTAAAAAGAATTCGTTACTTCGATCTACCTGTAGGTAACAATCAGTTTGATGTTACTTTTGAGTTTCTACTTCAAAAATAAAATTGGAACGTAAGATAGTTGAGTGTAATGATCATCTGAATGATCCGTAATATTTCGGATCAATGCAAATAGTTTCACGTCCTAATTGTCTTTGCTGATGACCTTTTTACGTTTCAAAGATATTTAAGCACCAAGAGCATGCAGTTTATCAAAAAGCTGCCAAGCTTTTTTTATTTATTTATTCATTTTTACTTTAATCTATTTTTAAACACCCGTGAGCATCACAAAGCAACGCCTGTACTCACATCTTGTTAATCGTTTTATTTCTCCGACCGGTTTCGTCTGATCACACACAGACCTCGTCAGGGGTATAACAAGAGCAGAACTAAGGAACTAACTTTTTATACACCTTCACATTGATAACGGCAAAATCCCGTTCCAGTTATGGTGTGAACAACCAAAAAGCCCACAAAATCGGGTTTGCCTAAAACCCAGAATCCTGAATAGGGCGGAAAAAACCCGGGGGGAAGGTACTGCCATATATGGGCTAGGTATGTGCCGCGGTGAAGGGTATGGTTTCCAAGCAGTTTACTCTAGAATAGGGTATATAAATCAGAGCGTTTGGGTCTAAAATAGGATATCATTTTTCAGGAAACTGATCAGTTGGTTGAAGATTTTATCTAGACTAGAGATTGTGGTATAAGGTTTTGTTTTGGCTAGACTATGTTAGTGACCTTAGTAAGTTTCTGGAAAACAGCTACTCTAGGATAGGGGATTTGCGGAGTTTACTCTAGTATGGGGTAGCAAAAATTCAGCTGAACTAGCTCTGGTATAGGTTAAGGGTTCCAGGGTCCCAGCGGCACACCCTCACACAGAAATCAGAGATCAGGAAGTAGGATATTCGGGGAATGATTACTAAAATAAATTAGCCTGTTTAAGCCCTCTATTTCCTCTTCGAAGTCCGCCGAGGGCGGGTGATAAAATATAAACCGCAGGGGATATATTGACGTACCGCCAGCGCAAGGGGTAGTGGTGGGGAAGAAGAAGAAAGACGTTCTTTATTTTTCTTTCTCGTGCTCCGCGCTCGTTCTCGCGAGCTCGCCGATGTTTTCGAAAAGAACGAAAAGAAAATTAAAACAACGTCTGTGTACAGGCTAAAAATAAATAAAAAAGCCTCTTTACTGGGATCAAGAGAGACCTTTTCATTATTTTCTCAGTTATGATTGCGAAATGGCCGCCACTTATTTCTTGACTTGGGATTTTGTCAACCCACTTTTCCCAGGCATGCAGTTTCAGTTCTTGAAAATCTGAAATTAATGTTTAATCCTCCGTGGCGTGATTTTTTAGTTATGTATTCACTATATTTTTCCATGTTTTTCCGTCGCCGATCTTAATAAGTAACAAACAATATTCAGTCATACATGAGTATGAGAAAGGCTGAATATAAATGTGCGTAAAAAAAATTGCAAAATCTTCCTTTCAACAAAAAAACAAAAATGCTCCAGCAAATGAAACAAAATTGACAAGGGCAAATTAAGTTTTTAGTGACTTGAAAAAAATGAAACCCATTTCTCTAAGATTCAATTCATGTCCATCATTGCTATCCGTAGCAACAGAAGACATAAAATAGAGTTTTAACGCCAAAATATTGCTATAGTCTTCAATAACAAAAATAGACCTTTTTCATGCAAGGACGCACTTTAGCCTTTTAAGAGGGTCTGAATTGGGTTTAGTGTTTAATTAGTTTTATATGCCCATAATTTTTAGTGATTCTTGTTAAATTGGCCAATTTTTTTTGTGTTTGCTGTTTCCGAAGAAAGTACTATTAAGTGTTTGAGGGTTGTTCGGGCATCGTCGGCAATGGTCGGACCCAGTCTTCGTTAGTCTTCGGAAATCTTCGTCAGTCTTTGAGAATCCTCGGTAGCCTTCGGAAATCTTCTGCAATAATGCGAAATTGTCTTAACATGGCCAAAACCTCAGCTTGATATACTGAACAAAACAATATTGGCCTTTTGAAGTCGTTTTTTGCTTTTCTGGAAAAAATGCTGTTTCAAAGAATCTTTACTGTTAGTATTAAAATGCCTATAAAATTTAACATGTTTCATGTTACAAAGCCAAAAAATTAAGTGTTAAGTGTTAACGGGGTACCCCCCTTCAGACCCTCAAGAGATCTTATCCTATGAAACAGTAATTGTTTAAACTGAAACTCGGCATGGAATTACATTTTTTTTGGAAAGAGTTTTGGTACCACATATGCAAAGCTTTTGAAATAAACCTTTACACTCTTTTAAAGGCTTCCGGTCTAAAAAAGACACCCTGTTTAAGTCGCTGAATTTTGAAATTGTATCTCCTGTTGAAGACACAGGAGCCTGAAAACCGTGCGTACCCTTTTTTACCCCACACATATCCGTCTTGGCCAACTAAATGAAAAGCTCGCTCGGGTCAATGCATCATGTCGTCACTCCCAGTACTTTGAGCGATGAACAGTATCTATAGAGAAGACAATTGCTGACGTTATAAAAACTAAATTTGTGAAATTATGGGATAGGCTGGCATATCCGGATAGATCAAGATGAAATATGTACACTTACTAAAAATCAGACCGTTAGTGCAAATTGGCGAGGAGATATAAAAAAAAACTATATAAGCACTGTTATCATAGACCTAATGTTCCGATGACTCCATATAAATCCTTCTAATAGTAGGCTCGGATCGTAACGTTACGATCCAGATCTTATTCTTTCTGGATATGCAAACATATCCCATAATTTTACAAATTTGACTTTTTGTGACGTCACACTTCTTTACTCTTCTGTGTTATTTTATTGCTAGTTCAACTTCCAAGTTTGAGGGTCCGTCGTTTTGCCAGCTCCACACCCGGAAATCAAAAGCTCACCATTGAACAGATCAGACGTGAGATAAACAAGACTTTACACTGCTGACACCACACGCATTTTGTTCACCAAACGAAAAAATGTGCGTTCAAGGTCCACCTGGGAGGGAAGGTCCTAAGGGATCACGTGGCAAAGAGGTCCGCGCGGAGCCACGGGAAGAAACGGTGCACGTGGTGACACAGGGCATCCTGGGCCACACGGGAAGCAAGGACCCACCGGTCCACCCGGTCAGAAAAGGAGAGCCTGGTATCAAGGGGAATCCAGGTCCCAGGGGTTTTCCGGGGCCTAAGGGAGAACCTGGAGAATCAATTTCAATGCCAACGGTTGTAATCTCGCCCAAGGAATTAACTGTCAGAGAAAACCAAAATGCCGTATTCCAGTGTTCTGCGACCGGAAACCCGTCACCGACTGTAACGTGGATAGAGCCCATCGGCTCCCTTTGGTCTTATCGTGTTCAGCTTAACCCCCGTGGAGTCTTGACGGTACGTCACGTGACTCTTGCAGTCACTGGTAGATACATTTGTGCAGCAACAAATATGCTAGGTAGCTAACCAATCAGTCTCATTGACTGTTGAAGGTAAGGTATTACATTACCTTTTTACTGGTAAAATTTTGCTTTGTGATTTTTGATACGCGTAATTAATTCCCTCATTTGTTTTTTTCTTCATTTAAGGAACCACTGAAAAATTGTCTTCACGAAGACTTTTTTTATATGTTCCAGGGCCATCGTAGCTCAATCAAAAATATAACACAAACAGTGGTGATAAACATTGTGAACTTTCGCATGAAAAACCCGACGTTTCGTACACTTGTAGAAACAATATAGGGTTTGATCACTGTGAAATTTTAGCGTCGTCAGGTAAAATAAAGGAAACAGTGCTTATTCAAGACTTTAATAATGACAATGTATGTTGACTAACATACGAAAAGCCAAGTTGATATAAAAACGCGAAAGATCACCAATGTTTATCATCGCTTTAAATGTTTCAATTGTCTTTCATCTATCTTTGATAATTTCCCCTTTTCGAAGGGTCTTTCGTAATAGAGACTTTTTATTTAGGGGTGTAGGGAGATATAAAAGCTCCATAATGTTGAGCGAGTGTTGCCCAGCTACTATTCAGGATCTTTACATTAGGTGGATCAGTGATTCTTTCAGGAACATGTCGTTTTTATTTCTGGTCTTGACTAATTTTTACCTACAAGCATAACTTAGAATGTTTACAGAAAGGCTCACTGTTATATACGAGGTATAGCCCCAATATAGTGTTTACTTGGCAACTAAATTTTTTGCGTAAGACCACCACGAACTCTACCACATACAATCTGAAGTTGTAAAATATGTTTCTCTTCTCACCTTTAGAAACCTGAAGCTTGGTTCGCATACCAACTGAGGCCTTGCTCTAACAGCAAGATAAAACACTTATCTTAAGCAACAATTTTGCTCAAGTATAGTAACCTGCGAAAACATCCGTTTCTCCTCGCTTTTCGCCGCTGGGGACGTTTCGCGCGGAGGAACGTCTGCGACTCAGCGACAGAAATTCCATACTGATGACGCAAATCAATGTTTACAAAAAATAAATCCGGTAATCATGAGGTTCCAAATATAAATTTGACCAATTTTACGTGTCTTCTGGTCGGTTTTGGTAAAGTGTTGTGTTCATCTGCCAACGAGCTTCAGCAAAACTCTAATGCTTCTTCAAGAGAAGACTATATTCCACAAATATTGGGTATTTTGTTTGAGATTCTTCGCGTTTACATTTGACCTTTGTGGCCTTTTGTCTTTTGTCTGTCATTCGTAAACAATAGTTAAAACGATGTCACTACTCCGTCGACCAATCAGCACTTCTGGCCGGATTCCGGACAGATTTTACGTCATCAGTATGAAATTTCTGTCGCTGAGTCACAGACGTTCCTCCGCACAAAACGTCCCCAGCGGCGAAGAGCGAGGAGAAACGGATGTTTTCGCAGGCTACAAGTATAGAGATGCATTTGAGACTGTATCTATTTTTTCAGCTCCCCCTCGTGTAAGACTATCCCCAGGTCCCATTCACGCTAAAACAGGACAGAACATCAGGCTTCCTCGATGCCATGTGACAGGTTTCCCGTCGCCAACTGTGACATGGACAAAGTTTACGGGTGTTTTACCAAAGAACAGGTTCACTTTGTCTAAGGAATTTATTACTTAACGCAATACAATAAGAAGTGACTCTGGTTCATATGCATGTAAAGCTACAAACCGTTTAGGAGAGGCGTCTGCAACTACGACATTAGTCGTGTTGCCACCGCCAAAGTTCATCACGAAACCCCCAAGACGTGCTGTTAAAACCGCTGGGAGAGACTTTTCGCTTGACTGTTTCGCGACTGAGCAAGCGTCAATTTCGTGGAGACGCATCGGAGGAACCTGGGAGGAAGGCCGAATGAGAGTCCAAAACAGAACCCTAACGATTCACAACCTGAAGAAATCTGATTCTGGCAATTATGTCTGCGAAGCAAATTTGTTAAGTTTCTATCGCATCGAGACAAGGACAATTTTAGATGTAAGAGGTAAGTAAGTCGATCTAACCACAATAAACCTGTGCGACGGACTATAATTCTAGGTAAACGAAAAATTGCCTCAGCCGCACTAAGGAACTTAACCAAGTTATTTAACAATTAATGAATGAGGCTGAGTATCTTATGAAGAATTATGGAGATCGAGGAGGGTGTTATCCGTCGAGGCCGTAGGCCGAGGAGGATAACACCCTTCGAGATCTCCATAATTCTTCATATGATACGAAAGCCGAATGCAACAATTGTTTTATTATTCATTTAAAATAATTCCTAGTTAAAAACAAAGCTAAAACATGCTTACCTCCATCGATATTAAGTTCACCCTCGATAGTACACGTTTAGGGTTGTTCAGCTCCGCAAATATTCTCCAAACAGAAGATGTCGCCCTTCGAGTTTTGTTCTTGCTGTTCTTGCCACGTTTGTAGCTATAATTTCGCCTAGTTCTTACTCTTGAAACGAGTGAAATGTCCGCCATTTTTTGTTTTCACAACCAAAACAACTTAACCTCGTCCCCAGGTCTTCGCGGCTAACAGTGCATTAACCTGCAAGAACGCTGCATTTTTGACGTCATTTCCTCGTTAAACACAAATTTCTTCCAAATCTGGTCATCAGTAACTGGTTATAGTGAATTATGCGTGTGCTTTTAGCTAATCAGAATCGGGGAAATATTTTGAATGAATAATAATTCCAATTTACTAATGAAAGTTAACTCGTTTAAATAAAAATTAAAAAAAACTGTCCGTGCAGTTGGGCTTTCTACTATCTTAATCGAGTTCTAACCGGGTTATGCAAATCAAGCAAGAACAATTTTTTTTAATCCAGGTTAGGCCTTTTACAACCACCTCTTGAGGTAGTTCAGCACAGGTTAACCTTATTAATTATTCGATCATCTCCGCCTACGCTTGAGAATGGTCCAATTGGCTTTGCCATGCACGTAAGCACAACAGTTTCGAAATTACTTCTTTCGCTCCAAGTTCAGCTTTTCTTTCATAACACAATTGGGTCTAGACTTTTAAGAAGTCGACCACTTTTATTATCAGTAAGACGGAGTCGGTCAAATTTTGGGGTGTCAGTGAAACGCGGGATCGGGGTCGGGGCCGAGGTCGTGCTCTTTTTTTTTTTCAAAAAAAGAATGCTCTAGTTTTAGGGTAAGGGTTCTAACCAAACTCCCTAACCGTAAAACAGCATTCTTTAAGATCAGTCAAAGAACGAAGCGAGAGTAGGCATATAGAAATCGAAAAGTGAAGGGATTATAAAAGTGCATACATGCAATTTGTATTTTTTCCCGCTATCAAAAAATTGAAAGAGCATTTAGGGTCAGGTTGATATGAACGAAAGACTTTCAAAGTCAAGTACAAATAATTTCTTTACAAGGTAAAGAAATGTAGAGCTAACATTACAGTAGAGGATAGAGTGCATGGATTTTTGTTAAAAAATAATTAATGAAAGCACTTTTCAAAAATTGATCGTTTCTTTAGTCGTCCAAGCAACTTCAGGTAATGTTTCGAAATCCGTGTACAATATTTGGCGATTTGCTTTATTACGCAGAATTTAGAGCTGTATTTACAAACCTCGGCGCGAGTGGAAGACTGGGTCCAACTTCTCTTGGTAGTTACTACAGTGGTCGGCATCATGACGGTCAAGTTACTTTGGTCAGCGGTATTCAACAATGGGCTGTACCATACACGGGTGACTACAGAATAGAGGCGATAGGAGCTGCAGGGGGGTACGACACATCCAGCAGTAGGGGACAATACCAAGGAAGAGCTGCTAGAATGAAAGGAACTTTTCGCTTATTCAAAGGCGAAACAATTCAGATACTTGTTGGACAAGAGGGTGGAATCAACAAGCGAAGTTCAAGCTCCGGAGGCGGTGGAGGTACTTTTGTAGTGAGAGGAAGCAACACGCCTTTGATAATAGCTGGAGGAGGTGGTGGCATAGAAGGTGCTTCCTCCAGGCATTCAGGATGCGATGCCTCTACAGGGACCGCAGGGAATGCTGGGTACAAGTCATGGTCAGGAGGAAGTGGTGGACAAGGAGCAACGACCGCTGACAATGACAACTCAGGTGAGATAAGTGTGTCAAGACGAGTAGAACCACCACAACAACAATCTTCGCTAAATATAATTGATATACGTGTAAAGGCAGATAATATTAGATTAATACATTCAAACATAGAGAAATTTGAGTAGGTTTTAATGACCTTGGCCAACTGTGATGAAATTGGTGGTATGCATTTGTATTTAACAAATAAAAAGGCATATTAGTGACACACATCGAGGCCTTTGTTAAATGAAAAACGGCGCTGCAAGAAATCCACCTACACATGATACCTGTTGTAAGTGAAGAGTTATTTAATGTTATTGTACTTTAGGTGGTGGCGGTGGTGGTTTCTTCTCCAGTGGAAGAAGCTCAACACAGTTCGGAGGCTCAATGGGGAATGGCGGAGAAGGAGGCAAAGGATTTCTTCAGGGAGGAGTGGGTGGAAGAGCCTGGTATAACAATGCTGTTGGTGCGTTTGGAGGGGGCGGTGGCGCTTATGGAAATGGAGGAGGTGCTGGAGTTGGAGGAGGCTACTCTGGGGGAAGTAGCGGGGATAATGAGGGTGACTCCTGTGGAGGAGGGGGAGGATCTTACAATGTTGGAAAGAATCAGCAGAGTGAATGTTGTTATAAAACAGCTGGACATGGACAGGTTACCATAACACTGATATAAAGTTACAAACTGTAACTTAGCAAGTAGTGTGGTTTAACAAGTTCCCAAAATTTTAGAGCTTGGTGTACCAGTGTAGATATAGAGATTGTTGTCCATACATTGAAAACTTTATAGTCACTTTTTTGTCACTACTAAAAATAATAAAAATGAAGCCAGGCAAAGTGCAGCGCTTATAAGACCGGCAGGTACGGGACGACAAAGGACAGATATCAAAGTAAAGACTTTTCTCATCACTGGACTGACCGTCATGCCCCCTTGCTTTGAATCATATAAACTCCTTATCTTGAAAGGCAAGAGTAACATAGGGGTATGCCGGGCTCCTGACTTCCGAGCACCAAGTGCGAACATTACGTAAGCTCTCTTTTGTCCACCGTGTAATTACACTGAATATTTTTACCACGCCTTATCGTGCTGTGAAAATCTCAAAAATTGTATCGTAATTACTGAGTGATCTTGTTCCGGATACAGTGTATAGTCTCCGTTCTGACAGCAACAATAGTGCTGTCATTCCCAAATTTGAAAACTTTAACAATCCTTGGGCGACCACGCTTTCGTTGCTCCTGCGCCTAAACTCTGGAACGGTTTGCATCTGCAATGGAATGGCCAGATCTGGTTTTTAAGACATATCTTTTTAGTAAGACTTGTTCTTAGTTAGGTTTGTGTAATACCTTTTAACAATGCATTATTAAGTTATTGGCCATGCAGGGATCCAGAAAGGGGAAATTTCGAGGAAGCATGCTAGTAGCTCATGCGTGTACAAAGGAGAGCACTTACAGTTACTTAATTTTACAGTTACATAAAATTATACGGGTGGAAACGAGGCTGGAGTTGACCTTGTTTTGATACAACCCTTCCTGCTTTATTACGTATAACGTACGTGTTGTTCGTATGTTAAAGGTCAAATGAACCAAAAAATTGACATATTTTCTTTTGTCGCTTTAACTTCACCAAACACTAAAAAGAACCAGCCTAAGTGAGGTTTGGGTAAAGATTTTTCTTCTCAAGCCTTTATAGAAAGATAAAAGATCAAAATCCGAGCATTTCCGAAAACTTCACGAAAACGTTTCTGAAATGGTCGCGTGATAGACTGGAGACTACGTGAATAACGTGACGTCAATGTTGGTCTTTCAGCGCGGAAAAACGTTCTGCGCAAGCTTCTGCGCATCCCTTATCGCCTGCGTTTGTTTGTCTCGTTCTGGAGAGTTCTGACTGAGACTAAATACACAAGGTGCGAACGTTTGCTCCTTGTAAAGGCTTTTTTTGTTGTTTTTGCTGTTGTTGTTCTTTTTTCGTCACTTGAAAATTACTTTGCATTCAGAACAACCAATGTTAGAGTAAAAACAGATCATCCGTCAGTCTGAGGAGGAATAAAACGTTTTGAACATTTCCAAAGAGGTTTGTATTTTTCTGATAATTGTGCATTCGATTTGTGAATTGATTTTGTGTCCAGTTCTTCGCCTTCTTTCGCCGGACTGAATTAAAACCCGCTTGTATTCTGTTATTAGTAGTTACGGTTAGTTTTTTTTACATGCCCAGATTTATTTACCTTTGCAAAACCAGCTTTATCCTTGTCTTATGTCAAAGAACCGTAATGCTAACGCTTGCGAGTGAACAAACTTGAGCGCTTAAAACTTCCTCGGAACTTTAGAAGGCCAGCAAGCTTACTCGAGAAGAAAATATTACTTCGATCATTTTTCTGTTGCTCAAGTAATAATAGTCATAAGCAAATCCTTATGTGCAGTTTTCTGTATTTTCTAATGATTCAGTTTGCTGAGTTTAATTTGCTTGAATGAAGACCCTCGCATGGACCAGTTATTACTAAAAAAAAGCAGCTAATCTAGCTAAGTAGTCGGAATCATGGCTTGGCTGCGAAGCTTGCAACTGATCTTTTGCTTTTAAGATCTTTAGGTAGGTTGTTTCCGTACAGAAGATTCACTTCTTCTTTGTCAGCAGGTATAGGAGCCTTAAGCCTTATGTCTTTTTAATGAAAATTTGTTGTTTTGCAACCTTATTGAAGCTTTTTTTAGTTCACTTAAGCTGAATTTTATGCATGATGGAATTGTTCTTTGCTTGTCGCACCTCTTTGACAGGTTAAAGTGGCGTCTATGGTCCTTAAAGTGACCTCAATCGGGAATTAAATCTTATACATAATTGGAAAGAAGTTTTTGAAATAATGTAACTTTAACTTTGTTTGAAGGAAATCTTACTTACGCGTAGGTTTTTAACAGGTGTTATGCATGTTCAACTTGACAACACAAAGCAAACTTAATCTGCGCGAAACGATCAAAGATTTACTAGATAAAGATTAACTCTTTTTCTGCCCACATATCAACGCCAAAACTTCTACATTGAGGATTTTGTTTATTTTAGTGATCTGCGAAGCTAGAAGTGTCCGATCGAGCGTGGGTTTTAAAATATCAGCTCGAGTGCGACAAAGTTCAGTGATTTCAAACACATTGTGGGCAAACTTGAATTTCTTTGGGCAGATTATTATACAAAGATATTTTGTTTTTGTGTCCGGACCTTATACATCCAGGAACTTCCTTATATGAACACATTCTGCGAATGCATCTTGAAAAATGTCGGACTTGCGCACACACATTTCCAGTACAACTCAAGGAAATTAGTAAATGTCGTTAAAGTCCGTTTTACTATGATGTATTCTTCGAGAAAATTAAATAATAATAAGAAGGTTATAACCACAGCTTGCAGCTTTTGAAGACAAATTGCCTGTTCTTTCCAGGTTTATGGCCGCACAAACCACTTCTGCGCCAAGTCGACTCGAAAAACTCTGTTTCGAATTTCCCGCTTTTTTTCACCTGACCAACATTGACGTGACAAGTTGTTTTTTCCGACAATTTTTCCGACCGCTCTACGAAGATAAGGGCCAAAAAACAGCAATTTTTAATTGCGAATATCTCGGAGATACGTGCTTCAATTGAGCTGAAACTTCATAGTATGTTTATTTGGTTCATATTAAACACATTTCACTAGAATTGAACTAAAATAAAAAAGGTCGAAATTTTCGTTCATTTGACCTTTAACTAGTATTTTTAAGCATAGTTTCCATAAAAAAAGGAAGGAGGATAGCACCAAAAGGTCAAACCTCAGCCTAACGTTCACTTAAAGGCTAGGATACTAAGTCCACGACTGTAAAATAGCCACGGTCTGCCTAGTATTAGGAATAACATGATAGCGACCTATGATTTGAATATCCGACTGTTCGACTGCAATTAAAAATAAAGAACATAGAATATAAGCACTCTTCGAAAACGGTCACATTTCCATAGTCTTTAAACTTCAATGATCGTTTACTCCAATTCATAGAAGAAATAATTTATGCTACATGTTCCTTTAGATAGTATTATTAAGTCAGTTATTGCTGTTGGTGGAGTCTCACTTTGGGCGAGCTCTGTTTCTCTGGGATACCCAATAATGACAATTCCAGTTTGGGATAAATTTGGCCTCAAGAGTGGCCGTCTATTTCATTTTAAGCACTTCAAGCTAGGAAAATCCAGATACACAAGAAGATTTATCCCGCAAAGGTGAGGGCACACCCGCCATCCGGGAGATGGAAGTGGAACCAAAGGGAAGGGAAGGGAGGGAAAAATGTTTTCCAACTTTCTTCTTGCAGTGAGCAGAGAGGTCTTGGGCTTTCATGTCATAAAGACACATATATAATGTCCCGGATGACAGTAACGCCCTCTCCCCAGAAGCTGGAGAAATGACACGTTAATGAGTCACATTAAGCATAACACCATTTATTTCTTTCGGAAATATATTTCCTATATAGCTGATTCAATAAAATTGCTTTGGGCACTGGTAATCGGTATTGCTTTGTCGTCACTCAAGCAAAACATTGTATGCCCAAATTGTATGTCCAAATGCCCAATGCCCAATTGCCAAAGCAACTTTTATTGAATTAAGGTATACATTTTTTAATTATGTATCTTTAGTCTTGATATCGCAATAAGCGAGCACAGTAAAAACAGGTTTAATGGTACTCACCCAGTACTTCTTGCTCTCTGCTTGTCCTTCGATTGCTTTGATTTCTTTGCATGTTTGAGCGGGAAACATTGTTTCATTTCATTGTTTTTGTACGGTTAATGGCAGAACGCTTTCAAACATAATAGAAACTGCACCAAACATGGCAATTGACAAGTTTATCATTTCTCAAAAAACAGCGTAATGGCTTAAATGGAACCGCTAAAAGTTTGAACTGTTCCTTACCTGAGAAGAAAAGTAGAGCTTTGTTGTTTTCTGTTGATTCGCCAAGTTTATAGCCAAAAGGGTTTGTTGTGTGTTGCTCTTCGCATAAAGTGCTGACAAAAATGGCAGCTTGGTTGCTCTAGGTAAGACGTCGTCTTGCTGTATCATTCTTTTTCCTGTTTACTTGAAACGTAGAATTTCTGCAAACATTTCCTTTTAAATTTGTTTGTCATAAATAAAACTTCGATTTTTGAGCCAAAATTTTCTTGTTAGAAAACGCTGAGTTCACGAAACGGCTTCTCCTACGCGAATACACGGGAGTTGTAAACAATCCATCGAGCACAAAACTCAGCTACAGTAAATTGAAAAACGCAGTATTGAATCCTTCCAAGTCTTTTCTTGCCTTAAAAAAAGTCAGCCCTAGGATTTTGCCGACTTTTAAAAGATCGTTTTCTAAAAAAAATGGGAAAAACACCGAGCTCACACATTATCCACTCGCTAGGAGGTGAATATTGTTGAATAGTCCGAGATAGCGAACCAATCAGATTGCTTAAAGGGACGCGATCACGGTTATGCGCATGCGCGTCGTTTGTCTCTTCAGAATAAATTTGTTGGGTCAACACTAAATTCGAAATCGCTATTACCGGTACAATCATTGAAAATCCTTCGTTTTATTCCGACATTCGTCGCTTTGGCTGGCCTAGTTATACTTCGGTAGTGGTGATTAACGTGTGGTTGTGTTGTTTGACTGGTTGCGTTTTAAGAAGACGCAAAAAATAATGTTTTGATCATGGAGGTTCAGAAGAGCATCGTGGCCGTCCGGCAACAGGACGTTCTCAAGAGTCTCTGGAGATAGAGAAGCTTAGCCTATCGACCTGGTATGGTTCCAGGAGTAGTGTGTGGCTTACGAAAAGAATACACGACACTTGGAAAGTGGTTGAAGGCATTCGTTCAACTTTGATTTGATTTTTGACTCCAGCCTGTAGTTATACCGCAACAGGCCGCGCGATCTTCACCGATCTGGTACACTTAAAATGTTCCTTGTATCTTTGCTGTGTGATCGTACATGTTTAAGAACTGATGTTTTTAAAATAAAGTGTTGCCTGAATATTCTGTTTATAATCTAGTTTCTTGATGTGTTCTACTCGATAACATTTGTTTTGCGGAACACTGACCCGATGCAACGCGAATGAATTTGTTCATTTCCCGATAAGCAATTGAAATTTATGCTCAGTAAAGGATAATCTTTATACCCATACGTTGTGTATTTTTGTCACCGGTCAGGCGCTATTTGTAGGTATTTCTGGGTTTATATTAAAGGCGATCTGAGAGAACAGTAATAAAATGTTTGTTTACAAATTTTGTTTGCCGATCGTGACTGCTTTGTTAGCGTGGGTACGACCTCGTAAAAATACACGTTGGTAAATGTTTGTTTCAAAGCAGTACAGGGCTGTAAATCTGATTCTTATCGGCTGCAACATATATCTGAGGAGTAGCAAAGAATGAACTAGCTACGTCCCAACTTTCTCGACGAACTCGCGCGGAGACGCTTGCTATGCAGGCTAAGAATAAACTTAAAATATGGGGATATATGAAATCAAACCAAATGCCCGGAAATACTCTCGCGTCGCGAACAATGAATTTGAATTTTGTAAATTTACTTGCGTGCATCTAATTCGCTTTCGATTGGTTTAAAATCAATCGGCAACTGTCAGAACTCACACATGCGCATTATCGTGAACCAGTTTAAATTACCAAGATCACTGAGTGTGTATACACTAATTGTTAATTTAGATTCCCAGTATTATAGATATAGGACAGGTGATGTGATTACTTTTATCAATAGAATCTTAATTTATTTGTTAAATGAAAAAAGCCTCTGCAAGAAATCCACCCGCACATGGTAACTGTTGTAAGTAAAGAGTTATTTAATGTTATTCATATTTTAGGTGGTGGCGGTGGTGGGTTTTTTTTCCAGTGGAAGGAGCTTAACAGCTCGGAGGCTCAATGGGGAATGGCGGAGAAGGAGGCAAAGGATTTCTTCAGGGACGAGTGGGTGGAAGAGCCTGGTATTACAATGCTGTAGGCGGGTTTGTGGGGGGCGGTGGCGCTTATGGAAATGGAGGAGGTGCTGGAGGTGGAGGAGGCTACTCTGGGGAAAGTAGCGGGGAGAATAAGTATGACTCCTGTGGAGGTGGGGGAGGAATCTTACAACGCTGGAAAGAATCAGCAGAATGAATGCTGTTACAATACAGCTGGACATGGTCAAGTAACCATAACGTTGATGTAGTTTAGACTATAGTTTGATATACCCAAATCAGTGTCTCTTCCCCTTTTTTGTCTTAACATTCAGGGTTCATTGTTGACCACCCGAAAAAAAAAAAATAAGGTGATATTAAGCTTAAAAGTATAGAGTTCTATGCATTTGGTCTCACAAAAGGGATGAACCATATACATTGCCATACTGCCAAGTGCAACATCGCCTTATTTAGAGCGGTTTTAAGTTACTAATACTAGATACATTTATAGAAAAAGCGAATTTTTTTTTCTAACAGATTGAACCGGTCGCCACCCCGCTTATCCCACCTTTTGAGATAGTCGGGGGCAAGAGCCCTTGTCGGGGGGAAATGTTTGACCTGGATTGTTGTTATTCTGCTTTATATTCAGACTCGTTAATCATAAATTGAAAATAAATTCAATTCCAAATCGTTCATTCTTTTTGTAAGTTTGCATATGTTCTTTTATTCATTTTGTTTTTGAGAGTTTAAAACCACATGTGTAAAAGTCTATTAATAGCGTTAACAATTGCTTTCTGACCATTCAGAATTTGTTTGCCTTTAGATCAATGTTTTTCGGAATAATTAATTATTAATTAGTAATGATTCCCCCAACTTCTATTCCTGATCGAGGGACTCTATGAGATAGAGGGCGTGGAGTGCAATTTCTCTTGTGTTAAGCTATGTTCTGAGCTTATCATATGGCGGAACTGATATCGATGCTTTGTAAACTATCAATGACACGTATTTCTCCTAGGGGGTATAATTATACTGGGAGTCTCCACCCAAAAGAGGTACCTTTTCTAGCCTCAAATTAATAAATGAAAGGA